CAATCCCTCCAGAAAATAATATCAAAAATAACTGTATCTGCCCAACTCTTTAGATCTGTACAATATTAGGCTTTAAGCCCGTAAATGTCCTTTAAACTGCATTTGGATGGTTTGCTGATTCGATTCTAGATTCAAATTTTCCTCTCAGGTGTTCCCAATCTTAATTTGTTGATTGTTAGAGTGGTCTTCGTGGTTTCAACGCCACCCTAGGGCTTAATTCAGTTCGATAAACTGACCCATTCGAATTTTCTGAAATGTGCTGTCTACACCGTACGTGGTTAACCTTTAGGACTTTTATATCACAATCATCTCCTATTGATAATCGTTTGAAAAGGCATCTCATTACTCTCTTTTTAACTTCCACCCCTTGCTGGCCCCATGCTCATGGGGTAGGGCAGTAAGCGAAGCCCACATGCGTCAGTTTCTACAGAGAGCGAGATAAGTTGTGAGATAGTTGTGTTTGGCGCAGACTTATTTTCATCTTCTCCTGAACTCTATGCCTTTTAGTCAAAAGTGCCATTTCGCGAAAGGATCAACAGTGCTTATAGTAGTATAGACAACGTTTCTTTAACTCGAACGCAAAACTAGTAGATACCTGCTTCTGCTGTTGGTGATACGAGCCTTCTGATGACATTTACATCTATACTGACCCATTGATCTGTAGTTCTGCCTCCAGTTCTTTGACTCCTTGGCACTAACTAGCGGCCATCGGTTTTTCAAACACTGTTGAAATGCAATGTCTTCGGCCTAACTGGAAAGTGTAAGAAAAACTGTCTTCGCACCGAATTACTAAATCAGGTAGTTTGGACGGCAGTCCCTATCCCATTCCCATGTTCATCATCAATCCCATACCTAATTGACTCAGTACCTATTGTGTTTTAGAAAATCTTTCTACTAATAAACAATAAGTAATAAATAATACGCTGTCTTTAAGATAGTTTATTTGCCACAGACTACAGGAGAGTGGCGGAAATCAGTTGCAGAATTGGGAGATAAGTCAGAAGCAGTTTATCATGGGGTTGGCCGGACAGCTTAGAAGCACTTGCGGTGAACAATTCCAGGGCCAGACTCGTCGTACTCCTGCTTGGAGATCCACATCTGCTGGAAGGTAGACAGAGAGGCCAGGATGGAGCCACCGATCCAGACGGAGTATTTGCGCTCCGGCGGGGCAACGATCTTGATTTTCATGGTGCTGGGCGCCAAGGCAGTGATTTCCTTCTGCATACGGTCAGCAATGCCAGGGTACATGGTGGTGCCACCCGAGAGAACCGTGTTAGCATACAGGTCCTTACGGATATCCACATCGCACTTCATGATGGCATTGAAG